CAAACAAAATCGGCGTACGAAACACATTCGTAAACACAACATACAAAAAACATACTTAGATAATTGGTTCCTCGATGGACTAGGTCTGAGTCCAACACTTAAACATCATTCACCTTTGACAATATGATTTTTCTACAGCTACTACGTGCCCTATTCTTCCATTCAACAGCTCCTTACTCCTACTAAGATATCTCGCTTGACTCCAGCACCACCATCCCTTCCGGCCCCTCATACTAAAACTCGAACTTCTCTACTACCAACTCCTGATCCTGTTGATATTTCACACAAACCAGCATCCCAGTACATTTCTGCATTGACTGCCGAGCCTACAACACCTGCACCGATCTCCCCTCCTCCGGTTTCTCATCCTCCATCGCCTAACTCTATTGAGCCGCACATTCACCCTAAATCATCTGTGTCGCGAGCGCCGCACACCACTATGACCTACGACGCATTACATCGCTCCACAGGCCATCGCAGTCGCCGTGTTGCCCTCCGGATGGTCAAAAATGAAAATATCACGCCCACACACCCACCACCTCCTCTCAATGTTATGAAAGAAGAGTGGATGTTTAATTCTGACATTTTACAACAGGTGCTTTCATTTCTAGGCATCAAGCCTACCCTCGACTTATGCGCTTCCAAAGCAACTACACAATTCCCGCGTTATGTCTCACCCGAAGGAGGCGGTATCGCTCTCGATTGGTCCGACATCGACTTACCCAACGAATTGGCATATGTATGTATGCTCCCCCCCCCTGGTCTATCATCCGAGGTATTATTGCTGCAAATACTAAAGTGGGCACTACACTTGTTATGGTCGCTCCGCTACGTCCCGCTGCCCCTTGATGGCCTGTATTTATGGCCCATCTACAGTCTCAACCATTCATAGTCCAGAATACTGCTACCGTTTTTAAATGACATGGTAGCGAGTCTGTCGGAAAACCCTCTTGGGTGTTTACGGTAGTCGCTGTACTTGGCCCTCTTTATTCCCGGTCGCGATTTCACCCTAGCCATTGACTATGCGAAAGCCAACCCGGAATTTGCGAAACACTGTAACACATGCCTTGAAGGTAAACTTAAGGCAACAAACATCTCTCATTAAGCTTACCAACACAGTTTACGGACCGGGGGAACGGTTTCACACTGACCTCCATGGTCCTGTACCCCCAAGTCGATATGAAAATGTGTACATACTCAATATTACTCGATACGGACTCCATAAGGCACTACCAAACAAACAGAATATGTTTATTAATATTGATAAGTTACTTACAGATGTTCCGGCCTTTTGGGTTCCGGACACACTAACTGCTGACAATAATTTGTCTTTCCATAGCCAGGACATGAAGGCCATACTACTCAAACGACGTGTACAACTTCGACGACCACCACCTTATTCCCCTTTCCAAAACACTCAAGGTTGAACGCCCCTCATGATACTCTGAATGGATTGATTCGTCTTCTTTTACTAGACTCTGGTAAGCCTAGGCCATGTCGACAAGATGCTCTGTTGTGGGCTGGTGACATCCGCAACAGAACATTCGGCGAAAACGACAAACTTCGTACTCCTGCCCAGACATTCCTCTAGGAAGCCATCCTAGGGACCCCAAAGCACGATTTGGCTGCGTTGTAATTATCAAGCTTCGCGGTAAGACAGCAAAGCTCACCCCTAAGCACGACCCGCAAGTGAGATTCGGCGTACTACTCGGCCGTAGCGCCAACTCCACACTTTATTGCTATCGAGTCCAAAACTTCGCAACACATCGGTAAATCGACACACAAGGCATACAATTCATCACCGAAGAAAATATCCAATGGTCTTCAGACGGTCGCTCCGCCACACCCTCCTCCTATACCATTCCACCCAACTGGTTTCTTCTTGACAGCGATCCGGACAACATCGTTCCTTACTAGGGCCACGTTCCACCGGTCAGCCAGCTCATCCCCGACGTTCGCCAAGACGATCTCCCACCCGAACTACAAGAGGCCACACACTACCACCAGCAAGTCCACAAGACGCCCCAGTCACTGCACCGAATGCCACACCAACACACACCTCACAACCCCAACCACCGTCCAATCCATCTCCTTTGCCACCTACACCACCACCACCACCCTCCTCTCCCCCATTCCCACCTACACCACCAACCCCGCCATACACCGTCACCCCACATCAACCATCCCAGACGACCGACTACCCTATGCCTCCTACCCCGGCCAACACCCCCTGCCATTTTTCTCAAACCACCCACTGCACTCCCCCAATCTTTCTGCATTCCCTGCCCTCATCGAGAACCTCCGCCCAAACCTCCACCACGTCCTTCAGCACTGCCTCCATCAACTACACCGCAGGTCCTCCTCGATTCCATGCCATTTACACGAATGTCCCAATTAACTACTATGTTTAGCGACACCCCAATGTCTATTGACTCCGCCGAGGCCTCCGTCGCATATCTCAACCATCATTCCCACCATATTCCAGCTATCTGGTCCATTACCCCCGCCCCTACCGTCCGCACTGAAACGACTTTTTCGAAGCCGCTTCATTTCATAATCCTAACGTACCGAAATCCATCGCTGCTGCCCGCAAATCGAAATTCTGGCCAGCTTGGGCCGCCGCCATTGAAACCGAACGTGGAAACCATTTGCGAAACGATCTAGCCGTTGATTCACATCGATCCCACCAAACTCTACTATTATTCATAGTAAATACGTCTTTGCTTTAAAACACAACGAGCACGCCCACCTCATACGCTACAAAGCGCGCATGGTGGCTCGTGGGGATGAACAACAGCATGGTGACAGTTTTACTGACACCTATACTCCGGCCGCCCACTCTACCGCACTCCGTCTATTCTTTGCGAAGGCCGCTTTCGACAGAAAGGTTGTGTGCATCACTTCGATGTCACATCTGCCTATTTCTAGGGCGCCTTTGGAACTTTGACATCGGCGCCAAACTATGTATGTGCCTCTGAATTTGTGCAATCTGATGCTGACGAAACTATTTGGATTCATCGGACGCGAAATTCCGTAGTCATTTTTTACGTTGGTGAAATACTTCCAGCTGTCGACTCTACTACTACTGACAACATATGGTTTTTTATGTATCTCTCTATTCACTACAACATGACGAATCTCGGCATAGCCCGTCATGTAGTTGGTTTCCGAGTAATTCAGCACGGCTCTGGTGCCATCTCATTGCTCCAAGACGCCTACATATAGCGCATGCTGGATACCTTTCACATACAGAACTCTCCTACACAGAACGACCCCTGATATCACCACTCACCCGGGTGCACTCGCTGGCGATATCTTTACGGGCAAATTTTGCAGCCTCCTGGGTGCACTGGGCTTCGCGGCCAACACGATGCGACTGGACATCGCGTGCACTCCACTATGACGCCCTGCTCCGTATCCTCCTATACCTCGCTGACACTATTCATTTTGCCCTTATATATCTATCACCCACGCACATCCGACCAAACACTCAACACTGCCCTCTTATCCTATAGCGACTCTGACTGGGCATCATGCACACTCACGCGCAAGTCTCAAACCGGCACCCTTATCTGCTCCATTTATATTGACCCCAAATACAGAAAACAGTTTCCATAAGTTCTGGAGAGGTAGAATACATCGCCGGCTTCGAAACTACGCGATCCATAGCCTGGATACACAATCTGATGAAAGCAATTAGGCTACAAACTTACACTACCTACCCGCCTACATATCGACATCCAGAGCGCTACCAAAATTGCTCTGGGTACAGGCACTCCGAAAGGACTTAAACACACATACATCAGACATCACTATATCAGGGACTGCCGTTCGGCAGGGAATGATCGAACTGGATTATATCTCCACGCACGATAATCCTGTCGACCTCCTTACGAAGGGCCTAGCTCGACCTGAACATACATCACTTTCCGTGATTTGTCAATGTCAGATCAAACACAACCAACTCGCTCTACGGTATCCGGGGGTGTTTCAGGACAACCCTAGTTTTATCCCTTCTGAAGTCTTAAACCTTAACCGAGTTTTTCCTGTGGCTGCCACGCGACCCTAGAAAGGGACCATATGTTGTTCATTGTAAATAGGTTTTTCACTTTATAATAAACAACTAGTTACTAAGAAACATCTGAAGGATTAGTCTCTTTAGATGATGTTGACGCTTTCGGAGCCCCTGAGACTATTCGTACTGTTGGCCAGCGACAGTTAAAAGAATATCCACTGGGCGGCTCCTGAGTTCTTGGTGGCAGCCGGTATATGATATATGATGAGAGCAAAATTCTAAAGCGTATATGATGACAGTGATGTTGCCATCGTTATGCAGCCATACGCATTCATCTTGTTCACTTTGGACGAAACCCAGATTCTAGAGGGTATGGCCAATGCAAGTGCAAGTCACAAGCGATGCTATATGGGCACGAAATGCAGTAGGCTCGTAGTCGATGAAGTCAGCGTCAGAACCAGGGTCGTAGACGTTCTGGTGTAAGTATAAAAAGCAGCCAGGTTGGCATTAAATCCGAAGTGATCGGTGATTAAAATGGCGTTGGGAAGGGATTGGGGGGGGTGGGATAGGTAATATGGCAATGCGATAGGCGCAGGTGGTGGGAGTATATAGCTTGTGGTGGTGGTATAGGTTCTGGTGCAAGCGGAATGGGAAACTATTACCAGGTTTCCAATGAGGGTCAAATATAAATGTAGTAAACGCATGAGACATAAATTTGATAAATTTGGCACAATTCAACAACGCAACAACGAGAATATCGATCAGTTTCTTTTTCACCTGAACACAAAATTTATCGAGGTGTTAACATGAGTACTAATTTTTCTGATGCCGAAAAACTAATATTTTATCCGGTGCTCATCGCAAGAATTATATCTCTATAGTAACTCATCTGCTGTCCGACAATGCTATGTTATTTAAGCTACAGGGTTGCTTTAGCCTATGTACAACAGACTGCAACGGAAATCGAAGTTCGGATTCTTGATACCATCGTATCATCGACTTCTGGTAGCGCTTTTGTTGCCTGTACTAAGCTTAAGTGTCACCAGTGCAAAATTATGGACACATTGCAAAAAATTGCAGATTACCAAATTTCAGTCAGAACCGCAGCTACAGAGACCCCCAGGAGGATTCAGAGGCCAAGGAGCCTACCATGGTCGGGGAAGATTATTTGATCGAGATAAGTTTCAAAAATCAAGACCTGGCCGTGATTCTAGAGACAACTCTGAGACCCACTCAAACTGGTCGCCCGACCGATATCAAAACAACGAGCAGGAGTCAACAACAGATATGGAAATCGAGATCGAGGAGGATGTGGAATTCTCGATTTAGAGATCAACAACGACAATAAATTAATTCTGCGTATGCCAATCCAAATCTAGCAGACAGTTAGATTGCTAATAGGAATGAAAGCTGAATTTGATCAGAAAGGATACTGCCGTAGAACAGCATCAGCAAGAAAAGAACTGGATACAATCATAATATGTACACATGCAACGACTAAGAAGCGCATCTAACCGTGTCATAACAATCAGTCAACACATTTATGGTGAACGCTCATACCAACCAAGTAAACACTGGGCACAACCCGAGACCTACCAACCCGAGACTACCACAGTTGCGAGGTCCAGGAGGGTATTGACTGGCCGTGGAATCATGAGCATATATTGGCATGTGCAGATAAGACCCTCGCACTCAACTTCATACTTTCAAAAAAAAAGATCCCGCTATTATTATTCCAAAGAATAGCGCTATACACATAGCAGAAGACTCTATTTCATATATGTATTTGTCGATTTATTTGAACTCTTGGATTTTTAAGATTTTGATAGTGGCCCAATTCGACGGACCGCTTAGGAGGGTGAGCTGATGCTACGTCAAAGTAATATATGCATGACTTTACGCTCAAAAGCGGCATTGGCGAAAACGAGGCGAGGGGCGGTTGAGTGTGCCGCCGGGGTGTACGCGTGAGTAAAACTATCACCATGTTGCTGCTCGTCAACCCGCACCATCATTCTGGACTTGAAGCGGGTGAACTTTTCAAGTTTTCATAGTTTAGTAGAGAGAGGTGTAATATCGACTAAGTGATCATAGTAAATATGGTTGCTGTGTTCCGTTTCGATGGCGGCTGCCCAGAAGCGCCAGGACTTGGACTTGCAAGTAGCGACAATAGACTTTGGCACGTTAGGGTTGTGGAATGACGCGGTTTCATACAGGAACACTTCAGGACGGGATATAGGGGACAATTGCGGGGTGTGAATGAAAGTAGGCGACGGATTCTTCCGCAGGTTCATAATCATGTGTTGCTGCGACGAAAGTAGTGTTTAGTGGGGACATGCGAGTCAGAGGTATGCTTTCCAAATAGTATAGGTCCAGCAGAGCAGGTTACCATCACATGTGTAGAGGGGAGGCATACATGTCGATGAGTGAGTAAAGCCTGACGGAGGAGGGCGACGAGGCCCTTTAAGGCGAGGCTTTTAGAACGATCGTGGAAGTGCAGCTGGCGGCGTCAGAAAGACGGTGGGAGGTATATCTGGTATCAGCGGGATGGGACCAGAGCGGGTCGACTGCATGTCATGAGGAAATCACTACTCTATACGACAAAACCGGTGTTGCGGAGTCAAGGGTAGTGTCAATGTTGGCGGAGGAATAGTAGCGACCGCTGGAGCTGTGAGATCAACCTTGGAGAGGGGTCAGGCAAAGACAGATCGACATTGTGACACTTGTTCCTTGTTGTGTGCTGTGGCAAACTGGAGGTTAAAGAAGTATTTTTAGGGACTGTATTTCTGCCTGTTGCAAGTCAAGTATGTAAAAGATTTGCAACCGCAGGAATATAGCCCTGGTTGGGGTCGACAATATTCAGTGCACTGGTGTTTAGGAATTAGTTAGCAAGGGTGTTGTAAGACGAAGGCGTGATTGATCGCATCGCCTAGCGGCAGTTAGGAGAGACTAGCGGCAGTTAGGAGAGACTAGCGGCAGTTAGGAGAGACTAGCGGCAGTTAGGAGAGACTAGCGGCAGTTAGGAGAGACTAGCGGCAGTTAGGAGAGACTAGCGGCAGTTAGGAGACTATTTATGCATTTCTTCGATAATAATAAATTGAAAATTCTGAGTATCTATCTAACCGTTGGGTCACAAGATTCGGGACCCTATAATAATGGGGGGTAGAATAGTTGTTGAAGTATCCAAGTAGTGCCGTGCCCACAGGCTAACTTAGGTCGCAAGATTCGGGACCCTATAATAATGGGGGGTAGAAGAGTCGTTGATGTATCTAAGTAGTGCTCACAGGCCAACTTAGGTCGCAAGATTCGGGACGCTATAATAATGGGGGTAGAAGAGTTGTTGATGTATCCAAAGTAGTGCCCACAGGCCAACTTGGGAGTAGTGTTTGAGTTGCTTCGTGGCCGCCTTGCTCTCAATTTAAACATAACCACAAAGGTTACAAGCGCGTGCCTCCTGTAAGCATGTTCGGGCGAGAGTACGTAGCTTATAGATTTCTGGGAGTGTGTGAGTACGAATATTATTACCAGCCCATGAGAAGGCGTACTCCTACCCTGATACCCTTGAACGAAACATGACCAAGTCAAGAAGTAGGAGACGTATGTGCCCTTTCATCGTGTCGTGTGGGCCGTAAACCCCTAAATCTTCTGAGAGAGTCTGAATACGTCTCGTTTGAAGCATATTCTTTACTTTATCTCCTGCCTATGCATTTTCTGCTGTGGAAGTATTAGGCACCCAAAAGGGGAAACCTCGGTGAGAAGTCGACCGACGTTATTGTTGTTAAGCAAAATCTCTGCTCGTTAGGAAGTGCAATGTGGAAACCGTAGTGAAATCCTGAGACTCAAGCCTGTTTATGATATCGATGTTCATGTACTACTGGGCGACCTGGAGGTCACTGTAGCACCGTTCGCTAAGCCTGTAAACTGTGTGAGTCGGTTGGTAAGGGATATATACAGCTTTTAACTTGCCTTTAACACATAAGTCGCAGTGTTTGGTGATCTCAGATTTATCAACAAGCAGCTTAAAGATACAATATACAGTTCTTCATTTGCTTTCACACTATTAGCCTTCGAATTACAATGTGTACACTCATAGCTTTCTTATAGAAAAAGATTAACGCCGGCATCTGGTGTG